ATTTGTCCATTTCTTCCAGGTTGTCCAATTTGTTGGCATATAATTTTTCATAGTATTCCCTGATAATTGTTTGTATCTCTGAGGGATTGGTTGTAATCATTCCATTTTCATTCATGATTTTATCTATTTGGGTCATCTCCCTTTTGTTTTTGAGAAGCCTGGCTAGAGGTTTGTCAATTTTGTTTATTTTTTCAAAAAACCAACTCTTGGTTTCGTGGATCTGCTCTACAGTTTTTTAAGATTCTATATTGTTTATTTCTGCTCTGATCTCTATTATTTCTCTTCTTCTGCGGGGTTTAGGCTGCCTTTGCTGTTCTGCTTCTATTTCCTTTAGGTGTGCTGTTAGATTTTGTATTTGGAATTTTTCTTGTTTCTTGAGATAGGCCTGGATTGCAATGTATTTTCCTCTCAGGACTGCCTTCATTGCATCCCAAAGCATTTGGATTGTTGTATTTTCATTTTCATTTGTTTCCATATATTGTTTAATTTCTTCTCTAATTGCCTGGTGGACCCATTCATTCTTTAGTAGAGTGTTCTTTAACCTCCAAGCTTTTGGAGGTTTTCAGACTTTTTTCCTGTGGCTGATTTCAAGTTTCATGGCAATGTGGTCTGAAAGTGTGCATGGTATGATCTCAATTCTTTTATACTTATGAAGGGCTGTTTTGTGACCCAGTATGTGATCTATCTTGGAGACTGTTCCATGTGCACTCGAGAAGAAAGTATATTCTATTGCTTTGGGATGCAGAGTTCTAAATACATCTGTGAAGTCTATCAGATCCAATGTATTATTCAGGGCCCTTGTTTCTTTATTGATCCTGTGTCTAGATGATCTGTCCATAGTTGTAAGTGGGGTATTAAAATCCCCTGCAGTTACCACATTCTTATCAGTAAGGTTGTTTACTTTTGTGATGAATTGTTTTATATATTTGGGGGCTCCCATATTTGGCACATAGACATTTATAATTGTTAGCTCTTCCTGATGGATAGACCCTGTAATTATTATATAATGCCCTCTTCATCTCTGGTTACAGCCTTTAAGTTAAAGTCTAGTTTGTCTGATGTAAGTATGGCTACTGCAGCTTTCTTTTGACTTCCAGTAGCATGATAAATAGTTCTCCATCCCCTCACTTTCAATATGAAGGTGTCCTCAGGTCTAAAATGAGTCTCTTGTATACAGGAAATAGATGGGTCTTGTTGTTTTATCCATTTTGATACCCTGTGTGTTTTGGTTGGAGCATTGAGTCCATTTACATTCAGTGTTATTATTCAAAGATATGGATTTAGAGTCATTGTGGTGTCTGTAGGTTTCATGCTTGTAGCGATGTCTCTGATACTTTGTGGTCCTTGCAACATGTCACTCACAGAATCCCCCTTAGGATCTCTTGTAGGGCTGGTTTAGTGGTGATGAATTCCTTCAGTTTTTGTTTGTTTGGGAAGACCTTTATCTCTCCTTCTCTTCTGAGTGACAGACTTGCTAGATAAAGGATTCTCAGCTGCATATTTTTTCTGTTCATCACATTGAAGATTTCCTGCCATTCCTTTCTGGCCTGCCAAGTTTCAGTAGATAGGTCTGCCACTAGTCTTATAGGTCTCCCTTTATAAGTTAGAGCCTGTTTACCCTTAGCTGCTTTCACAATTTTCTCTTTATCCTTGTATTTTTCCAGTTTCACTGATATGTAGTGCAGAAGATTGATTCAAGTTACATCTGAAGCTAGTTCTCTGTGACATTTGGATTTCAGTGCCTTTTTCCTTTCCCAGATCAGGGAAGTTCTCAGCTATGATTTATTCAAGTATACCTTCATCCTCTTTCTCTCTTCTTCTTCTGGAATTCCTATGATACAGATATTGTTCTGTTTGATTGCATTACTTAGTTCTCTAATTCTCCCCTCATACTCCTGGATTTTTTTTTATCTCTCAGCTTCCTCTTTTAGCATAATTTTATCTTCTAATTCACCTATTCTCTCCTCTGCCTCTTCAGTCCATGTTATGGCCACCTCCATTTATGTTGCACCTTGTTTATAACATTTTTTAATGTCTCATGACTATTTCTTAGTCCCTTGATTTCTGTAGCAATAGATCTCTGCTGTCCTCTGTTTTTTCCAATCCAGTGATTAATTTTATGACTATTATTCTAAATTCTTTTTCTATTATATTGCTTAAATCAGTTTTGATCAATTCGTTAGCTGTTGCTACTTCCTGGAGTTTCGTTTGAGGATAATTCTTCCGTTTCGTCATTTTGGGTAGTTCGTGCAGTAGCTCCAAACTGCAGGGCACTTCCCCTGTGCTGTAGGCAGTAACTTGTGTTGGTTGGCAGGGCCACAGTCAGACCTGATGTCTGCCCCCAGCCCACCACTGGGGCCACAGTCAGACTGGTATGAACCTTATCTTCCCCTCTCCCAGGGTCAGGACTCACTGGCGGAGTGGTGTGGCCCCTGCCTGGGCTACTTGCACACTGCCAGGCTTGTGGTGCTGCTTCGATGCGATCTGGCCAAGGGCATATTAGCCAGGGTGGATCCACAAGGTGCACAGGGGCAGGAGGGGCAGGCTTACCTAGCTTTGCAGTGGGTGGTCCCCTGCAGGAGGAGCCCTGCAGCTCCGGGAGGGAGGCAGACCAGTCAGAGGGATGGATGCACAGAAGCACAGCGTTGGGTGTTTGCGTGGTGCAAGCAAGTTTGGTGACGGGAACCGGTTCCCTTTGGAATTTTGGCTGGGGGATGGGAGAGGGAAATGGTGTTTGCCTCTGCCTTTGTTCCCTGTGCAGCTGAGCTCTGTCTTCCAGGGCTCAACAACTCTCTCTCCCAGCATCCTCTTGCCCTCCCTGCTCTTGGAGAGCAGAGCTGTTGACTGTTAACATTCCAGAAATTAAGTCCCTCTGACTATCAGAACTCACGCAGTCCGTCCCCTCTACTTTTGTGGGCCGGACTTTGGGAGCTCTGCCTTGCCGCACGGGCTCCCCCTCCAGTGCCCTGACTCCTTCCTACCAGTCCTTGTAGCATGCACCGCCTCTCCACCTTTCCTACCTTCTTCCCTGGGCCTCTTGTTTACGCTTGGCTCCAGAGAGTCTGTTCTGCTAGTCTGGCAGTTTTCTGGCTTATTTAGGCAGATGTGGGTTGGAATCTAAGTGATCAGCAGGATGAGGTGAGCCCAGCCTCCTCCTACGCCACCATCTTCCGTGCTTCAGCCCCTAAAAAAATTGTTTAATGTTTATTTATTTTTGAGAGAGAGATAAAGACAGAGTGCAAGCGGGGGAGGGACAGAGAGCAAGGGAGACATAGAATCTGAAGCAGGCTCCAGGTTCTGAGCTATCAGCACAGAGCCCGACATGGGAGTCCAACCCATGAACTGCGAGATCAGGACCTGAGCTGAAGCTGGACACTTACCTGACTGAGCCTCCCAGGTGCCCCAGGAAAGCTGGGTATCTTAAAAGTTATGGTTTCCATGTTTGTTCATAATTTTAAAAAGTATTTTTAATTTTAAATTAACCCCTTTCTCTTTTTATCTGAGGAAAAACAATTTTATTTGTAGTATTTATTATAGGTATCTTATTTTATAGTTTGTAACCATTTAATTTTTGAGTTGACATGTGATCAGACACTTAGCTCAACTTTGGGAGGAGCCTAATGATTATATCAAACCTAAATTGACAAATCTTTGAACTATGACTGGCTTTCATGAAAATATCACTGACTGTCTTTTTTTTCTCCTAAGAGAAACACAGTGCCCATTTCTTTAAGAATCTGACTACTAATAACATAGTTATAGACCTCTTAGTTTTTAGGACATCTTTTTATAAACTTAATGATGTGATACTATATTTAAAGTTTAATGTTATACAAACTATTATTTTCATAATTTTATTATAGAAAGAAATACTAACATATTCAATTGCTCCCTTTTGTAGAAAGAATACTCCTGCGGGAAGAGGAATCCTACAGACATACTTTAATGCTCTGCCTCCCCTTCCTCTTATTGTTGTGGTGAATCTGCATTCAGGTGGCCAGGTATTTGCATTTCCTTCAGAACAGGCAATCACCGAACAAAACCTTTTACTGTGGCTTAAGAAGTTAGAAGCAGGACTTGAGAGTCCTATCAGTAAGTTTTCTAATACACAAAGTTCTATATTTTCATAGATTTTTAAACTTACAACTAATGAATGCTAAAATTAATTGAATTGTAATGTTTATAAGTATCCTAAATATTAATATGTTGATAGAACTATCCATGGGACAGTCTTTTTGGGGGTATTTATTACTCCCATAAATTACTACCATTAAGTTTAATGATAGTAACTAACATTTATTAAACACTTAGTGATTCACATGTGTTATCTCATGAATTCTCCTAAGAGTCATAGGAAGTATTGTTACTCTAGAAGAGTAAGATAACTAGTTCAAAGTCACATAATTAGCCAGTAAATGAGGAAGCTTAGATTCCAACCAGCATCTCCTTTAGTCCAGAGCCAGAATTTGGAACCACAAGAAAATATATCTGGGTTGAGAATTTACTTATTTTTATTTTTATTTATTTTTTTATTTTACATCCATGTTAGGTAGCATATAGTGCAACAATGATTTCAGGAGTAGATTCCTTAATGCTTCTTACCCATTTAGCCCATCTCCCCTCCCACAAACCCTCCAGTAACCCTCTGTTTGTTCCCCATATTTCTAAGTCTCTTATGTTTTGTTCTCCTCCCTGTTTTTATATTATTTTTGCTTTCGTTCCCTTATGTTCATCTGTTTTGTATCTTAAAGTCCTCATATGAGTGAAGTCATATGATATTTGTCTTTCTCTAATTTAGCTTAGCATAATACCCTCTAGTTCCATCCATGTAGTTGCAAATGGCAAGGTTTCATTCTTTTTGATTGCTGAGTAATACTCCATTGTGTGTACACACACACACACACACACACACACACACACACACAAAACATCTGTATCCATTCATCCATAGATGGACCTTTGGGCTCTTTCCATACTTTGGCTATTGTTGATAGTGCTGCTATAAACACTGGGGTACAAGTGCCCCTGTGCATCAGCACTCCTGTATCCCTTGGATAAATACCTAGTAGTGCAATTGCTGGGTCGTAGGGTAGTTCTGTTTTTAGCTTTTTGAAGAGCCTCCATACTGTTTTCTAGAATGGCTGCACCAGTTTGCATTCCCACCAGCAGTGCAAAAGAGATCCTTTTTCTCTGCATCCTCACCAACATCTGTTGTTGCATCTGTTGTTAATGTTAGCCATTCTGACAGGTGTGAGGTGGTATCTCATTATGATTTTGATTTGTATTTCCCTGATGATGAGTGATGTGGAGCATTATTTCATGTGTTGGTTGGCCATCTGGATGTCTTCTGAAACAGGAAGAAATAGAAAATTTGAACAGAGGGGCGCCTGGGTGGCGCAGTCGGTTAAGCCTCAGACTTCAGCCAGGTCACGATCTCACGGTCCGTGAGTTCGAGCCCCACTTCGGGCTCTGGGCTGATGGCTCAGAGCCTGGAGCCTGTTTCCGATTCTGTGTCTCCCTCTCTCTCTGCCCCTCCCCCGTTCATGCTCATCTCTCTCTCTGTCCCAAAAATAAATAAACGTTGAAAAAAAAAATTAAGAAAAAAAAAAAAAGAAAATTTGAACAGACCCATAACCAATAAAGAAATTGAATTAGTAACCAAAACGTTCCCTAAAAACCAGAGTCCAGGGCCAGATTGCTTTCCAGGGGTATTCTACCAAAAATTTAAGGAAGAGTTAATACCTATTCTCTTGAAGCTGTTCCAAAAAATAGAAATGGAAGGAAAACTTCCAAACTCTTTCTATGAAGCCAGCATTACCTTGATGCCAAAAGCAGACAAAGACCCCACTAAAAAGGAGAACTATAGACCAACTTTCCTGATGAACATGGATGCAAAAATCTTCAACAAGTTATTAGCTAACCAGATCCAATAACACATTAAAAAAATTATTCCCCACAACCAAGTGATTTATACCTGGGATGCAGGGCTGGTTCAATATCCACAAAACAATCAATATGATTCATCATATCAATAAAAGAAAGGACAAGAACCAAATGATCCTCTCAATGGATGCAGAGAAAGCATTTGTCAAAATACAGCATCCTTTCTTGATAAAAACTTAATAAAGTAGGGATAGTAGGATCATACCTCGAAATCATAAAAGCTATATATGAAAGACCCATTGCTAATATCATCCTTAGTGGGGAAAAACAGAGAGCCTTCCCCCAAGGTCAGTAACAAGACAGGGATGTCCACTCTCACCACTGTTATTCAACATATTTTTGGAAATCTTAGCCTCAGCAATCAAACAACACAAATAAAAGACATCCAAATCGTCCAGGAGGAGGTCAAACTTTCACTCTTCACAGACAACATGATACTCTGTATGGAAAATCCAACAAAACATTCCACCAAAAACCTGCTAGAACTGATCCAAAATATCCCTAGCATTTTTCACAAAGCTAGAACAAACAATCCTAAAATTTGTATGGAACCAGAAAAGATGCAAAATAGCCAAAGCAATCTTAAAAAAGAAAAGCAAACCTGAAGGCATCACAATTCCAGACTTTAAGTTATGTTACAAAGATGTAGTGATCAAGACAGTATGGTACTGGCATAAAAACAGACACATAGATCAATAGAATAGAATAAAATGCCCAGAAATGGACTCACAAGTATATGGTCAACTATTTGACAAAGCAGGAAGGAATATCCATTGGAAAAAAGACAGCCTCTTCATCAAATGGTGTTGGGAAAACTAGATAGCAACATGCAAAAAAAAAGAAAGTGGACCAGTTTTTTATACCATACACAAAAATAAATTCAAAATGGATGAAAGACCTAAGTATGAGACAGGAAACCCTCAAAAATCCTAGAGGAGAACACAGCCTCTTTGTGACATCAGTCATAGCAACTTCTTGCTAGAGACATCTCCGAAGGCAAGGAAAACAAAAATAAAAGTGAACTATTGGGACTTCATCAAGATAAAAATCTGCACAGGGAAAGAAACAATGGGCAATACTAAAAAGTAGCCTACAGAATAGAGAAAATACTTGCAACATACATATCTGATAATGTGTTAGTATCCAAAATTTATAAATAACTTATCAAACTGAACACCCAAAAAACAAATAATCCAGTTAAGATATGGCCTGAAGACATGAACATTTTTCCAAAGAAGATATCCAGATGACACAGGAAAATATGCTCAACATCACTCATCATCAGGGAAATGCAAATCAAAACTACAATGAGGTATCAGTTCACACTTGTCAGAATGGCTAAAATTAACAATACACAAAACACCAGATGTTGGTGAGGATGTGGAGAAAAGAGAACCTCCTTAACATTGTTGGAAATGCAAACTGGTGCAGCCACTCTGGATAACAGTATGAAGGTTCCTCTAAAAGTTAAAAATAGATCTACCCTACAATATAACAGTTACACTACTAGATATTTATCCAGACGAAATAAAAATATTGATTTGATGGGATATATGCATCTTGATGTTTATAGCAGCATTGTCAACAATAGCCACATTAGGGAAAGAGCTCAAATGTCCATTAACTGATGAATGTATAAAGAAAATGTGTGTGTGTGTGTGTCTATCTATTTATATACATACATACATATAATGGAACATTAGTCATCAAAAAAAAATGAAATCTTGCCATTTGCAACAGTATGGATGGAGCTAGAGTATATTATGCTAAGCGAAATAAGTCAGAGAAGGACAAATACCATATAATTTCACTCATGTGGAATATAAGAAATGAAATAGATGAACATAGGGAAGCAAAAAGAGAGGCAAACAATAAACTCTTAACTACAGAGAACAAATTGAGGGTTGCCGATAAAGAGGTGGGTGGGGGGATGGGTTAAAACAGTAATGGATATTAAGGGCACTTAGTTGAGCACTGGGTGTTAAATGTAAGTGATGAATCACTAAATTTTATTTCTAAAACTAATATTACACTATGTTAAGTAACTAGAATGTAAATAAAAACTTGAATCTAAAAAAAAAAAAAAACTATAAAAAAGAACCCATCAGACCTGAAGAATACAATTGAAAGGAAAAAAATGTTAGAGGGAATCAAAGTAGATTAGAGAATGCAAAGAATGGATGGAAAGGTAGTGCAAATCATTCAAGCTGAAAAGCAAAAAGAAAAAATTAAAATGATGATAGTTTAATAGATCTCTGAGACAACAAGCAGATGAACATTTGCATTCTGGGGGCATGGGATACTTGAGGGAGAAAGGGGCAGAAAACATTTGAAGAAATAATAGCTGAAAACTTCCCTAACCTGGGGAAGGAAATAGACATGCAGATCTAGGAAGCACAAAGAGCCCCAAGTGAATCCAAAGAGGTCCACACTAAGACATAACCATTAAAATGACAATAATTAAGGATGAAGAGAGAATCTTAAGAGCAGCAAGAGAAAATCAACTAGTCTTATGGGTATTCCCTTAGGTGTAACTCTCAGCTGATTTTTTCAGCAGAAACTCTGCAGGCCAGAAGGGAATAGCATAATATAGTCAAAGTGCTGAAGGGAAAACCTTTCAACCCAGAATACTCTACTTGGCAAGGTTATCATTCACAGTTGAAGGAAAGACAAAGAATTTGCCAGACAAACAAATATTAAAGGTGTTCATCACCAGTAAACCAGGAATGTTAAAGAGACTTATTTAAATGGAAAAGAAAAGGCCATAACTAGAAGGAAGTTATGAAAGGAAAAAAATCTCACTGTTAAAAGCAGACATAAAGATAGTGGATCAGTCACTTATAACTAGAGTGAATATTAAAAGACAAAAGTAGTCAAATCTACCATCTCTAAAGTTATTAGTTAATGGATACACAAAAGAAAAAGATGCATAATATGACACCAAAGACATAAAACTTTGGGACGGGAGAAACTAGTAAACATGTAGTGCTTTTAGGATGTTTTCAAACTAAAGTGACCATCCATTTAAAATGGACTACTTTAGGGGCGCCTGGGTGGCGCAGTCGGTTAAGCATCCGACTTCAGCCAGGTCACGATCTCGCGGTCCGTGAGTTCGAGCCCCGCGTCGGGCTCTGGGCTGATGGCTCAGA